AATAGTGAGATACCACTATTATAGCGGAATTTACGTTTCCCCCCAACCTGATAAACTATTTTTTTTTTTTCAATAAACTAGAGAAGAATTGCCTTAAAGCATGTTATAGCGGGAACAATTAACGGGTATCTGTTGTTTGACGTCTCCTTTGAGAATTTCTTTCACTCAAATTGAGACTTTACCAAATACCGTTAAATGCATGGATTCTTTACTCGACACCTTCAAGCAGTGAGGGCTCTCTATTGTTCAGACGCCTGCCTGACACGGTATATGGCAAGAAATTGGTACTGCGTTTTTAGGTGATACTTTTGTACCCTAGGGTACACCCGCAACTTTCATTTCAAAGTGCAGATTACAGGCGCGGATTCAGGATTTTTACCCCAAGGGTTGGGGTGGGGTGCTCCAGGGAATAAACCAGGTCGGGGCAGGCGTCTTCGGAGGAGTAAGCATCCCCTGTTAACCATTCACATTCAAGTTATTGCGCTATTCTAAAAATGTATATTTTTCAGCAAGACATGTTATATATAAGATATAATATATTTTCTATTTCGTTCCGTTTCGTTTTTCCGCTCTCTATTCTTTGCCTATGCATGCAAGGGATTTTCGTGAATATGACTCAGTCAATTTGTATTTAGGATTAAATATGAAAATCTTAATAAAATATATTGGTTTTAAAATAATTTGTGCATTTTAAGTGATTTGATTTGAAATCATATTTATCGTTTTCGTTCTGTTCCGCTTTCCGTTTTAGCAACACCCCTCAAATCCGTTAAAGCTAAGGAAAATATTTACCTAATTACCTATAAATATAGATTCTGGCTCCAACACTGGAATACAGGGCTGGACTCTGTGATATTGGATAATGCCTAACATAGGCTTATTTACACCTTTTTCCATTTTGTCATATAAAGGGTTAAATTGGCCCTATTATTTACTAACCAACTTTAGGCAATTCCATATTTACATCGTATATGTGCTTTTGGACAAAACCTGCCCTAAACTGCAATACTTTTCAGTAAAAAAAAAATCCAATTAATCTTTGTTTTTCTTTATTTTAGGACGGAATATAAAATAAATATGATTTTTAAAAATAAATATTCTTGCAGATCAAGTAACAGCTAGTAGAACATGGGCTCTTGGTTCAATAAGAATTAATTCACATTCAAATCATTTAACATCTTTACATCTGTTGTAGCTGTAACTTTGAATACAATTCATAGAAACTCTTCTGCACATACATGTACATGTATCTATAAAAAAAAATTATTTTCTATTTTTCTCTAATTCTTCATATATGTTCATGTAATTGTTTCAGGGAAACAATGTACAAAAACGTATCTATCTAACATCTTGTACCTACATTACATTTCAATAAAGAGAAATTTCAGAAGTGAAAAAAAGGAAAAAATTTGATCATTTTCTCAACTTGATTTCACATAGATAAATACTACCCTCTGTCTTGACATCCTTTCTAAACTGTAAGAAGTATTCAATTGATGTTATTTATGAACAACATAAAAAAATAGTTAACACAAAGACTGAAATTAAATTCAAGATATCAGTTGTCACATATTTTATACTATAAAATAAGACCCCTGAGATTACAATGTAGCTACATGTCAATTGAAAACCATTGTACTTGTAACAGTACTAGAATACTACAAAATGACATTCTGTGAAATATTAAGCAAAAGAAAGTGATGGCACTTACAGGTTTTTTAAAGTCTATGACAGTGAGATAATAAAACTTCATTAAACAGTAAAATTAATTTCAAAAATTGTGCAAAAGCTGCCAGATTCATAATTAAAGAAACAAAGGTATATTGAAAAAATGAATTAGATCAGAATAAATGTACACATATTGGTTATAAATATTAACTTGGCACAACAAATGTTTTGAAGACTATACAGTATTTTTGAAGGTAAATTAATGACAAAAGAACATCTACACTCCATAAAATTAGACTCAGGCATTCAAATTACAATTAAATTAATAAAAAAAAATTACAAAACATTACAGCTACAATCTTTCTGTGAATCTCGGGGAAACTGTTGAGTAAATTAGACATAAATACAAAGACCTCTACACATAAAAGTATGTTTCCATTTGTTTTCCTAATACTGGTAACAATTCTTTGAACCTTTTAACCTTGACCTGGATTTTCAACTTCTGACCTGGTACACCACACAACATGTTACTTTCATTACACCATATACATCTTACTTTCATTTTCACATTGACACAGAAAGACACTGAACACTGGTCCTTCCTACTTTCACTTTCTGACAGGCTTGGACTGACCCTCCCACACTTCTAGAACAGACTGTAGTTTCACTTCCAGGCAGACTTGGACTTATTTTGATGACCTGCTTTACTCCCGGAGGCCACCTTCCTCTCTGGTTTCTTCTGATGGTTCAGGGGCGGTTTACCTCCATGTTTATCCCCTCTTACTGACCCTTCCGAGGCACCCTAAAAAGAATATTAGTTCATTATGTAAACAGTCTCCTCAAAATTAACTCTCAAAGCACAAAATATGACCATTAGCCCATCCTCGGAATACAATGGTTCCTGAGTAAACACGGTGCCATTGAACCCCTGGTATATTTCATTCAATATTCTTTGGGTGACTTAGCAACGTCTTTTGGAAAATTAACAAATCTTGTTTTTCTTATTCGCAACCAATCACATTAAGTCACATTAAGCCATTCAATGATAAATAACTTGTAACATGTGCATTTGAGGTGTCAACTGATTCCTTTTTGTTTACCTTACCTAGCTGTTCATGAAAGCTTTAATTTGATTGCTGCTTGTCAATGAGAGAAGCAAGCCCTAAAATACACAAGGGTTAGTTTTTAACCTTTCTTTTCATAAATAAAAATATCCCCTATACTATCATTATTATAATATAGGGGATATTTTTATTTATGAAAAGAAAGGTTAAGAAAGTCAAGCACCTGTGCTAAAATATTATATCTAATATGAAATATAACAGGGGTCAAACAGCAATGTGTAGACTCAGGACTCCTGGCATTGTTAGGATGCTATTAGCCAAACAATCTGATTTCACAAGGTTCCTCAAAATGATCAAACTCTATACTAAATTCCTACCAAAACCAAGAAAATCAAAATCATGCAATTTACCAAATTATTCTGAAAAAATGAATATTTACTGTACCTAAAATTTGTGTTTTTCTTTTAAATTACACATTTTCATCAACCTATCAAGAAATGTCTTTTGTCAAAATTTATCTTTTAATAAAGGACGAGCTCTTAGTGCTTCAACTGTAAGAAATTATGATCCATTCAAGCTTTACTGACTTGACTATCTCTCCTGTTGAAACAATACATACTGCCATTTGATCCTTGAGATTCCGTTTGACCTTGTCCCTGTCATGTGACCTTGGCGAGGAGGGGGCACTAGAATGACGACCTGGTTTGGCCACTCCTCCACTATCATGCCCTGGTGCACTGTAACAAAACAAAAAAATTAAAGTTTGTTATGAAAAAAATGAAAATTTGTTAGTTTTCACTTTACTCATTATTTTGACCCAACGTGAGATACAGCTGGAATAGGAATACTTTCGTTTACTGCCCTAAAATAAAATATGCCAAATAGCTAAATGAAAACTTAATCACTTTTTTCAATTTATGTTTGTCTTTATGAGCCCTCTAACCTCTGCATGTACTTCAGGAGATTGAATATCTGTAACATGTTTTCCTCCTCTGTGTGTGTCAAGGTTCTGCTTTTGACCTCCTCCAAATTGACCTTTGACCTGGTTCAACATTTTGGATATTTCTGCCAACTGTTCGGGCTGCATCACCTTGTTCACTGCCCCTGATGTACCTGGCTCATTTTCTGCCTGCAAAGTAAAAAAAAAAGCTAAGTCCTAAAGAGCCATTTGTTTTTTAAGAAACAAAATATGAAAATGTTGTGCAATTTCCAATTGAGAATATTTACCGTAAACGTGGTTATATTGATGAGTTGAAAAATTGACGATTGTTTGGTTACAAAAATTGACGAGGGTTAATTTTGACGAAATATTTAATCAAAAGTTATGTATCTTCGGTTCACGAGGATACAAAGGCACATTTGAATTACTAAGATTTTTATTTTTATACAGACCATCTACAGTGTGTAAGATTGTACAAAGTATCTAAGTGTGTAAGATTTGATTAAATAATTGCCCTCTTGTAATTTGTTTTCATTATAAGCAGTCAATTGCCTGAGGTGAGAAACTAGGTCAAACACTGCGTGATAATTACGCTGAGTTACGCATGCATTATTTGATACACTAGTTTAGATTCACTAGTTTTAAAAAATGTGATTATACATCACTGTGTTTTCATAACTAATTACAGAAAAAATGAACAGTTACTTTGATCTAGTTTTAATAGGGGAAAGCCCAGAAAATTAAGCGGTAATGTTGTACAATGGTCAATATCTGTTGTGACGCTATATATATGATATGAAATTTGACGAATGTAAATTTTGACGAGAAAAGAAAACTCGTCAATATAGTCAAAATTAGCACATCGTCAAAAATTCCACGTTTACAGTAATTAAGAACATTTAATCATGAGAAAAAATTTAATACACTTTTAATCAAATTTTGTTTTTGAAACCCTTTGTTACAATTCTGTAATTGTAACATTTTCATTTATGTTTTGTTTTTTTTTTAACTTGTAACATGTTAAAATTTTTCATTTCTAGATTTTAATGAAATTCTTGTTCAGTAGTTTTTGGCAAGAAACAATTGATTAAAAATATGTTACAAGTAAAATCTATAATCAACTCCCCCATCCCACCCATTTATCATATTTATTAACAATCATTTGTTACTATATGTTATTTTGTCCTTGCATCAATAATACGCACATGTAATTTGGCAGGATCACTTCACTAGTGTTAAAATCTCTATGAAACATGAGATCATTATTAATACCTGTGATTGTTTCTTTTCCCTCAGTTGTTGGAGGCGTATCATCTCCCTATGAATCTGGGCCGCTTGTGCAGTGTCATTCAATTCATCTACTGAAAAATAAAAATAACTTAACAGTCTGCAATATTCATTCAACTAAATCTGCACATAATTGGCGTATTCATGTTCCATTAATTTATCAACTGTTAAGGCCAGTACACGCATTCAAGCTTGCCTAATAAGTACAATAAAACACACTTATAATTAAGTTCCAGGAAACTGCGCAATTTGATTCGTTTTAAAAACTTGAAAAGATTGGAGAAGTGCATTTTGTGCACCATGAAAGGCTTCTTGCCTTAGAGTATGGACACAGCAGTCTAACAACTGGCAAAAATATCTTATCAGTCAGATAAAGTATACCTTACCGTGTGTTTTAGATAACTTAAAATAATAATTTCCCACATACCAGTGTTGTTGTGTGAGCTCATGGAGTTGTCCGCCTCTACATCTTCTGTAACTGGATCCCCGGGAGGCTTATGCAACAACTGTAGAATGATATCAGAGTCAACGTTTGTCAAACTTTTCACCTAGGATTTCTTACTAAGTTCTGAGTGTGTTAATATACAGTTCATCATATATGTTTAGAAGAAACTTGTTATCTACATCTAACAATATATTTCTTTGTAGTGTGACATTTTTAAAATAAAGGAATTTTTCAAAGAATACGTTTAAAAATTTCTCTTTCCTCAATTTCATGTAATGTATTATTAATGTATTACACTATGGCAAAAAAAAAAAATAATTTCTTGGTTCTCAGGCCCTCTCTCATTTCTTCCAAGGGGTGCCTCATTGACCCTTTTTATTGCTAAATCAATAAAATATAAACACCAAATCACCTCCCTCATCATTTTTTGAGGTTTTGTACAATGTAAAAAGCTGCCTCATCATGTTTTGGGGGCAATAAAAAAGAAAAAAAAATGCCTCCCTCCCTCATCATATTTCTTGAAAAAAGGCCTGAGAACCAAGTAATTAACTTTGCATGGCCTATATTCAACACCCCTACCATTTGTATGTAATGCTGGAGTGAAATTGTTTGGATTCGTGTTCTTCTACTCTCTGGGACAAGTGATGATAATCAACATCTAACCTACAATCCAAAGAATAATATCATATAAAATCTGTGTCATTTCAAAATATAAAATTGAACTACATGAACACAGTACTTGTACACATTAAATGAGAAATAGAAATCACTTAGAATACATAGATACTATAATTTATTTTATTAACAATTTATCTTTATTAAATCTATGAAAGGAGAGATTTCTCACAATTTTTTAACCAATTTAGAATTTATAATGGGGAAATCTTTTATTCCTGTATACTAGTAAGTACTTTTTTTGCATTGTATTAATTGACGCTATGTACATGTATGTGATCACAAATTGTCCACAGAAATTTGTCCCATTGTACTCAGAATACTTGTAGGGAATATAGTGAGACTTTAGGAAATCCACGTAATTTTCCACCCGTGGATTAAAGAGAAATAGAGATTCCGCGGAATTGTGACACATGGAAAATAGTATGTCTACAGTAATTTAATGCTAACCTTTGACCCTCCTCTGTTACACTGTGACTTTCTATCACATGACCTCTGCTCTGTTTGGTTGGCGGGGAGTGAATGACATTTCTCTGTGGCCAAGACATTGGCTCCTCTGTGTAAAATAAATCAATATTAAAATGCGATAGTGTTATATCATACGTAGCTTCCCTTGGTAAGAATAGAACCATGTTAGCAAAAGTAAACCATCATTAAAATTTGAGCACTAGTGTTTGTTCTTATACAGTTTTGAGAAAAAAAGATAGCTTTCTAGGTGTGGAATCTCTTCTACAAATATTTTAACTCTTGACATAAGATTTTAAAACTCACCTTTACTTTGCTGTGAGAGTGTTGGAGAATCACTTCTTCCTCTCACAGGCAAACTCTGAGCAAATCTTCCAGGATATGTCTGATCCTCTTTCTGATTGGTTGACTTAGCACTTTCAAAACTCCTATCATGAACACGATTGGATAAGACAAACTGAGAATTATTCTGATTGGTTGATTGGCTATTGCCATGCTGGGGAGGTCTGATGGGAACAGCAGTGGCTGGATGAGAAACAGGCACACTGGTTGGGTGAGTCTCAGAGTCTGAAATCTTAGGTAAAAAACCTGAAGAACCCTGCTGTGAAACGGACCCTTGAAACTTTCCCACCAACTCCAAAACGGACAGATTAGAACTCCTGATGTCTTCAGCAGCTATGAATGAGGCTCCTGTTCTAAAGCTGTCTTCTTGAGAGTTTCTATGCCAGTTGTGGATTGTCTCATGCTCTTCCTCCTGAGTATTGGACTGTACCCTGTCTTCCTGTAGGCCATTATGTA